ATTGTCAGCATTCACAATGCATTTCGTACACGTTTACAAATGGATTATGATCAATTTTTTTTTACTTGTTTGTGGAAAGTGGGGGACTCATTGACCCCCCAAACAAATCTATAGTATAGTGGTGTTGCATGATGAGGTATGCAAGAGGGTTTATATGTGGTGGTGTGTTGTAGCATGGGTGCTTATAAGAGTGGCCACCACTTTAAAGACATGGCCAAGAGGACTCACTGTTTTATTGGGAGTAAACAAATGTGAATGTAACTTGGTATAAACTCAGTGGAGGATTAGAAATGTCAGTAATTAAGTTAATCAAGTGTGTTAAGAGATCATCATCTAGAAACATCATGAATGGTAATCGAAACATGCATGCTTCAATTCCTTTTATAAAAATAGTGCTCCTAGTATATGTTAATTAACACAATCCTATATATCCATATTCCATCATTGTGTTCCCCTTGCCAAACTAATTAAAGGGAGATTTTGGATGCGGTCCTTAGTTATGAATATTCTTTGATTGAAACCTTGTTGGTTTTTAATTTTTGATCGAGGTCCCTAAAATTAATGCAATAATTTATTTCTATGTAGTTACTATATTTTTTAAATTAAAAATTAAAATTTTTAGTTGTTTATATAAATGAGATTTTAAATAAAAAACCATAATTTGTGGGATTAAAAATATTAAAATATAAATATACTATTGTGTGTGTGTGTGTGTGTATATATATAAACATGGGTACATTCATCAAAATTAACCAAAAATATTATTGTATCAAAACATGGGTACATTCTTCAAAATCACAAAAAAGAAAAGAAGAAAAAAATGAAGATATTAGGCTTAATAACATTAGTAAATTTCTTCGATTAAACTTGACATGGATACATTTTAAAATCAAAGAATAAAGAATTAATGTACCCATATAAGTTTAAAAATGGATTAGAAAAAAATTGAATAGATTTTATATAAAAAAGGTACATTTTACATATAACAAATTGGTATATTTAAGAATGAGTACATTTTAAGATTAAAAAGTTTTACATAAATTGGTACATATAATTAGCATGGGTACATTTAGCAAAATAAAAAGTACAAATACAAATAAACTGTAAAAAATATGGGCACAAAAAGAAATTAATATATGGGTACAAATTAAAACTGAAAAAAAAATGGTACAAATTAAAAAAGAATTACAAATTAAAAATGGGTACAAACTAAAACTAAAAATATATGATAAAAAAATTTAGTCATAAATATAAATATACTAATTGTAACATTTTTAACATTAAATGAATATATTTAGAAATAAAAAAATATTTTATTATTGAAATAATTAATGATGTTATTAATACCCAAGGACCTTGATCAAAAATTAAAAATGAATAGAATTTTAATCAAAGGAGTAGCAAAAGGAAGGATGAGAACCTAATTTCTCCCTAATTAAATAACTCCCTTGTTGGCAACGTTCGTTGGCTGCCAATCCATCATTCTTTCAGCTTATACGAGCCCTTTGAATGGCTTCAAATGGATAATAACATGTCTAGTTTTGTTTTTATGTACATATATTACATACCACAAGTGCAAGTTGTAAATATATGCATGTTATGTATGTAGAGGCTTCTTTGCCGAAGTGGGAAGTGGTCGTAGTTTCTTAAACAACGCTATCATTAACCTATTAGCCTTCAAATTATGATTTAAGATTTTATTTCATTCTCCATTTCGGATTATAAGGCTTGTTAAAATAAGTTTGAACATCTTGCATTAAATTTTCTCAAGTATGTTAAGTTAAGTAGTACTTCCTTATGTGTGTTTAAGTTCTTGATTAACACGAATATCCAACGTAAAGACTATTTCCATTTTTCATCTAATTTTAGATGGCTGGAATATGATGAAGGTGAGACGAAAGGTATGAAAATTAAAGTAGATGTTGTAAGAGAAACTCAACTAATTATAATAATAAAAAGCCTGGATGGAATGCATGTTTAGTGAAATGCACGAGTACTATTGAATTGAACCATGACATTGACACGAAATGAATGGGGAAACCAATTAGTGTAATAAGAAATTGGCTAGTGGGTGCTTTCGTACTTGGATCCCAACATGAGCTCTTGTTAATGGAATTATACCTCACACATGGAAAATTCAAGCACTCAAGTAAAAAGTTAAAAGAAATGTACGGAAAATAACTAATAGCTATAGAGGGCGAATGTCTCGAATAGAACAAAAAGACATTGTTATCTGTAACGGTCAATATATCGTTACAAATTCTGTTTAAATTATAATTGGTATACAATCACTTATATATGCATACATATTAGGATTAGGGGTAATTTTGCATATGTATAATAGTATGATGGAACTTATACACCACGTCGACATAGAAAGAAAAACTTTCTTGCACCCTCGACACCCATTTCATGCAAATGAGTGCAGACAAAGTTTTATCATCGACATGGTCAGTGTTACTATCATTCACAATATTTCTCACTCAGCTGAAGCCTGACAGGGTGTGTTCCAGCTTTGTTTGTAGGCTGTGGGCTGCAGCACACACAACAAAACACAAAGACTTTTGATGTAGTACTTGCTCACATTGTACGGGAGCACCTGATGCGGTGGCTTGCTGATCTTAGGGTTAAAAGGGAAAGAACGATGGAGTCTCAGAACAGAAGTTGACTAAGACTGCTTCATTTCGTGCGTTTATGAGCATGAAATCACTGCAGGTAATACGTACTACGGATTTAGACTCATGGGGCATTTATTTAACATTCAAACTTCGGAAACAACTTGTATGACACGGGTTCATCTCTACAATGACATCCCGTTCCAATAACACAAGAAAATGTAAAAAAAAAAAAAAAAAAAAATCTAACGTATGTGTTGTATTAGCATGGAACATTATGTGACATTGTACTCATGTCATGCAAGTCCTCCACGCGGTGCACCTACGAATGCGACTCTTCCTGTTACCCCACCGTTGTTCATGAGTCATAGAAAGAGTGCGTGCCAATTAAGGTGGAATGAGGCATCAAGCATGCAAAGTGATGCAACTAGTGTATGCTTAGGTGAGCGCCTCCTTTATTCTTTCCCAATCATCTCAATGAATAATATATGTATATGGTGATGCTTTCTCTCGACTTATCATTGTAATTTATTCTTTTATCCGACATAGTGTAATTAATTAGGTAAAAGGAGAATGGTAGGGTTTGTGGGTGAACTCGTGAATTGTTGATGTATGTAATTTTACTATAGGATTTATATATTTAGGATTACGACTAGTAATCTTTCGAGCATGTGTGAGCTATTGGTATTTATAGGGCATTCTTAACTAGAGCCATATTTAAAATGCCAATTAATATCATTCTAGAATTATCTAGGAGTTTTCGCCATATTCAATAAAGGAGAGTATTAGTTTCATATCACTTTTATTTTGATTAACTTGTTACTTTATTGAATTAATCTAGTTGTTAATTAATTCAATGGACAAGATTCAAAGAAGATGGAAATCCAGATTTGGATAGCTTACTTCAAGAATAGAGTTTTGCCATGCAAACCACGTAACACTAACCCTATTCTTATGATTTGATTATTATGAAAATCTTCATAACATTGCCTAGAAAACTCGAAATCACGATCCACAAAATTCCTCTGAAAGCTAAATTTCATATCTTTCCAATGATATAAGGTTCAAGCTATTTCCTTATGAGGAAGTACAGTTTATTCCGTCAAGTTGGCTGATCTGCATAGACAGTTTCTGCTTCCAGGATGCAAAACTCGTTTAATATTATTTTTTTCTCTAACATTGATAAATTACGAAAATGCCCCAGATGGGTGGAAATCCTATGTAAAAATCCTTCGTGGACGTTCGAGTCCTTATTACTCTTTATTTCTTTGCACATATTTATAGGTGGTACATGTTCTTACAAACACATGAGCGTGAACGAGGTGTAAATCAGACGATTTATGCATGTAACCCAATGAGGGGCAAATTTGTTATTTTGCACTCTAAAAAATTTATTACTTGTTTATCAAATAATAGTGAGTTATCGGTATTGTGGGCTGCATAATGTAATATTGATGGCTTATTTGTTGGGTTCATTAAGCAAGTGGGCAAGTAGGCCTGTCCACGTTAGTATTTTATTAATTAGGCCTCGTGCCTAATTAATTGTTATTTGGGCTTGACCCAAGACACACACATTTACTCTCGAAGTACTTGACCATACGAATGCGTGGGCACAAATAGAACTGAATTTAGTGTTATGATGAAGATTTTACAGAACTACAAAGCCAAAGGGTCTTTCAGTAAATTCACTATTCTAGATTTTTCTCCCTTATTATTTTATTATTTTCTTGTTAGATTTTTAGCTCATAGGGCCCATACCCACCTTCCACTCTCTTCCACATGCCCTTTTTCTCCTACCTTCTTAGCTATTCTCCCTCATTCACTCACTCACTCACTCACTCACTCACTCACTCACTCTCTCTCTCTCTCTCTCTCTCTCTCTCTCTCATCTCACTTTCTTTTTCCCTCAAGCTCTCTCTCCCCCCCTCAAAATCACTCTCTACTCTCTGTGCACAGAACATGAAGCCACCACCTCATCTACTTTGGCAAGCCTCACAACCCAGACCACCTCTGTCACGACCCAAAAAGTAACGCAACAGCGTCGCGAATTTTTAAAAACACATGAGAGTTGTATGCTTCAAACTTAGAACATGACAATTCTCATATATCTTTAAAATATGCAAGGCCTCTAAAATTTATATCAAATATATATCAGAGTTTAAGTGAAAACCAAAACATTCAAACCATTTCTTAAGCAACCCCTTTACAACAGAAGTTCCAAAAGTTCAGTTTACAAGCCAAAGGAGTGATAGGTTTAGACATATATATATATATATATATATATATACACACACACACACACACACACAGAAACAGAGAGGAAAAACACAAACAGTTTTCACTGAAACCAAAAAATCAATATTTACATTTCAAAAGTTGCTTTTCTGGTTGGAAGCTTTTAGGTTGACAAGCTACAACCGCACACCTTAATCCAACTCTTCCATTATTTCTCGCACAGCACCTGAAAATGTAGGGGTGAGCATCACATACAATCATTTGCCCCCCCCTCGGGAGGCACCCTAGCTAGGTTTGAAAATATATACCTTTGTACAACGTATTAAGGAAATAATTTGCATAACAAAATGCTTTGGCATGAGTAAAAAAATTATTTTATGATTATAATTAACCATAGTGGGATCCCTGCATTCTATTTGTCCCGACAACCGAACACGCGGCCAACTACCGTACCTAGAATAAATTCTCAAGTAATAACAACACAAGGTAGGGTAGCGAGAGTGTCCACTTACAACCTATACCACTTAGACACAAGTACCCTTCCCTTACGGTTAATGGTACGAGTTCGTTTGTATAGGACCCTCCGGAGGTTTAGGGGATCGAAGCCTAGGGTAGTCACACAGCTCCTTTCACTATCAGGTTGTCATGACATTTAGAACAACATAAATCACATGCTAGAAAAACCAAACTCCTTTTTCCTAACATGCAGTTCTAATCACAACAAAATTCAATGCATAGCTTGCACGCATCCATATTTATACATAATACATATCGAAAACCACTAACCAGGGTGTGAGTCCCCCCTACCTGATATTCCAAGCTTTAGGTACTAACTCGTTCCACAAGTTGTTCTCTCTTATCTCTTGGTCTTGCTTAAGCCAAGAAAGTGCCTATTCTGAAAAAGAACATATCAATATACAGTTCACATGCACCAACATAAACCAACACATCTCAATTTCATCTGCACAGTGCATGTATAACCCCAAAATAACCAATCAAATCTTTATTCACATAAACCCCAGTTTAATTCACCTTCTCCATGAAATTCATTTAGAAGCCATATATCCAATGCCAATAAATAGCCAAAGCACACTGAAATTCCAAAACTCCAGAACTAGTAAAATTTTACCTTAATCTTCTCTAATTTGGTTGTTCGACCAGCCTTGAGACTTTCAGGACTCTCAATTCAACCATATAGCACTTCAAACATAAATTTTTTAAAGTTATTACCTTGAAATCCCCAACTACAATATAATTTCGAATCTGCAATAAGCATTGAATTCTTACCTTCGTTCGTAGAGGTAGATTTCTTGATCACAGAGGCGAAAACGGATTCCCATTCGGATGTCTAAAGATTACCCGATGCATTTTTTTTCTTCTTCCTTCAACACCCAGAGAAAACCCATCTATTTCTATTCCTTTCTGCCCTTTTTGGGAACAGGGCACCTGTCACGCCCCAACTCAAGGATTAACGTAAACCTTGGTTCAGAACGTGAATCACACCTTAATTATAAGTTTAACTAATATAATTAAGAATGTGACATGAAATAAAAGCATGTATAACTCGCTTGGAATAAAATTAACTGAATAACATATTCATTATTGAAAGTTTCAGCCAAAATTACAACTTATGTTTACACAAAAATAGTTCTTTATTCAAACAAGAGAGTAAAAACCAACAAGCTCATCTTTTTATTTCTTCTACATAATTACACAACAGACAGCAAGTAGACTTTTAGGTTTCTGGTTTTGTACCTGCAAAATTTCGTTAGGGTGAGCTTAAAACGCTAAGTAGGGACATATACCTTCATTACTAAAATAATAAAGTATAATTAAGATAGCAGAATTAAAACCAAAATCAGAATGGTGCATAAGTATGCAATGCAAATGCCTTAATTATACCCGTTAATCCACATAACTAAACACCCAGACCTTGTACGTCCCATTCCGTACTTATACCACTTGATCCCGAGTGTTTAAATATATGAACTAACCCCCATCTCTAAACATCCCCGAACTCCCCTTTTTGTTAGTCATCTTGCCTAAACTCTTCGTCTCCAGTCCCGAATTACCCTTAAAGAATCTGTGCACTGTGGGCTCGCTTGAGACCTGGTACCTACTAAGAGTTTGGCTCAACTACACAAAACTAATAGTCACCACCTTAGATTCCCGAAGTTCTTTCCAACAATCCCACTTTACTCCCACATCATGGACCCAAATTTCATTTCGAACATTCATTATACTCAAATATCCAATAGAAACATGTATATCAAACTTGTATATATACTTAAGTAAGAAATATTTAAATTCATATATATATATATATATATATATATTATATATATATATATATATATATAGAAGGTTTCCCAGAACCCCCTACCTTGAATTCGATTAATTTTGCTTCTCTGAAGAACCTAATCGGAACGCAAAAATACAACCAAAAATATAAACACAAGTAACACATATTAGAAACCAAACTAAGTGTTCAACCACAAAATTGATATTATCTAAAGAAAGTACATAAATTCTGGAATATTATAACTCAAATAATGTCACTCAAATCAAGTAAAGAGGACTAGAAAGGAACCTGGGAAAGAAATTAGGTGTGCTAAAAAAGAACTTTGCATCTTCACAAAATCTGCAGAAAAACAGCACTATTGAACCAAGTTTAGACTCATTTTCAAACATTCAAAACTAAACCAAATCGTGTAATATTACTTGGGTTTTGAAGTTCGTGTTATGTACTTTAAAAGCATATAAAGTTTGCAGAAAACGGAGCTCTAAATTGGAAGTTATGCTAAAAGAAAAATGGAGTCTTGAAACTGGAAACCCAGTTTTCTGCTGCTGTTTGGCAGCTCGCGACCCAAGTTTAAATAAGGTTTTGATCAACCAAAACTCAACGGAATTGAGTGAAAACAATTGAGTTACAATCATGGACATATGTATTTTCAACACAATAAAAGTTTTCTCCAAAGGAGCACATAAAGACCTATGAATTAAGAGCAAAATAAAACCACTAGAAACTTGAGTTTTCTCTGAAATTTTCTGCAACTTACATAACAATACACTTCCAATTCATATAATAAAACCCAAAATATTTCCAAGTAATCCAGAAATCATGTATACAAAGAGACTCTAAGAAAAAACTTAGAGTACTTGGATCTAACGGAGGACATGACACAGGATCGAGCACAATGGCGTTCTAAGATTCATATAGCCGACCCCACTCAGTGACTTGGATTTTTTCAAGTCTCCAATCGAGAAGTTTTCCCTACTCGGGAAATTAAGGGAACACTATCTCAACCTACATGCTCCACTCACAAAGCTTCAACATACAAGCTTCAACAAAAGAAAAATTCAAAGAACTTAGCGAAGAAGGCTTTGGTGTATTTAACACAATACGTTGAAATGAAACAAAGCTTATTTATTGATATCTCCAATAAGTTACAAATATGTACATATACATGAGTCAAAATAAACAAACAAGAGGGAGCCTTCACAAAGGTTGCTTAGGAGAAGCCTCAGCAGTCGGTAGAGCCCCAGAAAGAGAAGGCACCGGAGGGGGATCATTCGGAGCCTCAGTACTGGACAACACCTTAGAAGGAGGAGGCATCGGAGGTTGATCATTTGGAGCTTCATTACGCGGTACAGCCCCAGAAGACGAAGGCAATAAATGCCTTTGGAACAAACCCACAAACCTTTGATGATCATGTAAAATCTGACCATCAGATTCCTTCATCTGGTCAAGCTTCCTCTTCATGTTTGTAGCATAGTCATGTGCGAGCCGGTGCAACTGTTTATTCTCATGCTTGAGTCCTCTAATTTCCTGCTTGAGACTCATCACTTCAGCCGCCAATGATTCAACTTGGCGAGTTCGAGCAAATAGGCGTTGGGCCATATTAGACATAGAACCTGCACACTGAACACTGAGAGCCAGAGAATCCTTAACAGCCAACTCATCAGACCGTTTGGAAAGTAGTCTGTTATCTTTGGGAGTGAGAAGGTTCCTGGCCACCACCGCAGCGGTCATATCATTATTCATAATGGAATCCCTAACGGTAAGAGGACCAGTAGGGGATAAGAAGGATGGGCGCCATATGTTGTCTGGAGAAGGCGTGGCTGCCTCGTCAACAATGTTCAAGTCAAAACGACGGTCGGAGGGGCCAGACATTTTCAAAGGTGTTGAAGAGAGAAGAGGTCGGATAAATCAAGATCTTAGAAATGCAAGAAGGGAGCTTCTACTGGTGGAGATTCAAGTGTGCTTTGGAACTTAATACCAGCCTCTATAAAAATCTGCGCTCAATGGAGCTTCAGAAATCGAAGAGGCGCCTGCTCAGAAATTGAAAAGGCGTTTGCTTTCTCAAAAGCTGGGCTGCTCAGAGACCACGAGGGCCGATCTCAGGAAACGAAGAGACGTTTGCTTTCTCAAAAGCTGGGCTGCTCAAAGACCACGAAGGTCGATCGTAGAAATAGAAGAGGCGCTTGCTTTCTCAAAAGCTGGGCTGCTCAGAGACCACGAGCGCCGATCTTAGAAATTGAAGAGGCACCTGCTTTTTCAGCCTTGTCAGCACCTGTCACATGCACACTCAACTTTGCGAAAATTATGGGCATTCTGTCGAAGATTTCTGGTGAAGTAGAAAGCACGTGAATGTTACTGTTCAATCATCCACTTTCCATACGCAACATCAGCTCACGGGTACCACAGATAACTTTGCAAAAAATCTCTGACAAATTTTAGACACGTGAAGCTTGCAGCTCCCATTACATCGCTATGACCAAGAAAGGTAAAAGAATAGCAAAGAAACAGCACTAACAAAGTTTAGACACATAAATTTTGAAGGTCTAGCTACCATATTATTACCCACAAGGGTAAAGGAACAGGACCACTGCTGGATAATTGGAAAGTCCCTATGTGTCAACCTCTGTGCTCCGTGGTAAGGTAGACTAGCAAACATGCCTAACCTTTACTTACATTCGAGAAAACACTCCCAACAAGATTGCTTGCTTCAAGATCGAAGAGGCACCGCCCTCCGAATCTCGAGAGCCAGACTCTCAACATGATTACTTTCTCAAAAAGCGACGAGACACCGCTCTCCTAATCTCGAGAGCCAGACTCCTAGCAGGATTGCTTTCTCAAACATCGAAGAGGCACCGTTCTCCGAATCTCGAGAGACAGATCCCCGACAGGATTGCTTGTTCGAAAACCGAAGAGGCACCGCTTTCTCAACTTCGAGAGCCCTTTAGATAAAGTTTGTCTGTAATCCTCACACCAATTTCTCAACTTCGAGAGCCAGATCTTCTTGGATAAAGCTTGTCTGTAATCTTCACACGTAGCATCAGCTTTCCAGATACCACATACCACTTTTTCAAAGTGCTCTGACAGAGTTAAAACACGTGAAGCTGGCAGCTCCCACTACCGTGCTATGACCAAGCAGGGTAAAGGAATAGCATTACTCCTTATTGTTAGGGAGACTCCTATATATGTCGACCTCCATCCTCAACGGACAGGCAGACCTGCAAAAATGCTCAACCCTTCCTCATATTTGACAGCGCACTCCCAACGAAGCCTCTCGAAATACTCAGCTTTCTTTCCCCCCGAGAATACCTCTGCAAACAAGCTACACTAGAGCAAGAATATCTCATATCATCAGGGTTAAAAGCAAGAGTATCCCATATCATGCTTTTTCCCTGTCTTTTCCTTTGGCCTTGTTCTTACCTGCAAGACAAGGAGAAATAGAGCAATCAGTCAGCACTTGGAATCAAGCTTCCAGTCCGGAACTGACTGCCTGGAACCCCTTACCTGATTACTTACCTGGCATTGCTCTCGAGTACTCATCTTTAACATTTTATGCTTCCCGAGAAGATACCACATCTGCCTGAGGAACAAATAGGGCAAGTGAGAAGGATACAAGGAAGCATGTGAAGACAAGCGCAACAGAACACGTGCCGATACATCTACTACTTGGTCAACAGCAAAAGTATCCCATATCAGCAGGGTTGAACGTACTCTAGATTTGATGGACTTGTTTTGACCCTCAAATTCTTCAGTCGGCCTTATACTCTGGCAGAAACCAGAAAACCCTCCAGCCCAGTTTAAGAATAAGCCTGTGGAAAGTTACTTCTTCAAAAGCAAAAGTATCTCATATCACCTTTTCTCCTTTTCTTCTCTTTATCCTTCATGCTGCCTGCAAGATAAGGAGAAGGATAACAATCAGCCAGAACTCGAAATCAAACTTCTGATCTGGGACTGATTGCTTGGAGCTCTGATTGCTTACCTTGTCTATCACCTCTTTCAGCAGATCCCCTAGCTCGGCGACTTAGGAGACTCCTACTACATGGTTTGTATTGCGCTTGACCAAGCCTGAAACTACAAGTAAGCGTCAAGTGAAATTGATACATTACCTTGTGCATCTCCACCAGTTAAAGATACCACCCCTGGAGGGAGGAATAGTACTTCCAAAGAAGATGCCACATCTACCTATGAGACAGATAAGGCAAGTGAAGACGATATCACACTTCGGTACTTAAAAGTTTCGTGATTACGAGATCATTCTTCCATAATATTTCCTAATGTCATTTGTACTAAATCATTCACTTGTACTCACTAAAGGAGAGCTTGAACCTATGTACTGTGTAAACCCTTCACAATTAATGAGAACTCCTTTACTCCGTGGACGTAGCCAATCTGGGTGAACCATGTACATCTTGTGTTTGCTTCCTGTCTCTATCCATTTACATACTTATCCACACTAATGACCGGAGCAATCTAGCGAAGATCACAAACTTAATATTTAAGATGATATTCTTTGGTGTATGTTTTTCGCAAACGATATAGTGTTGATAGATGAAACGCAGGAAGGGGTAAACGCGAAGCTTAACCTTTGGAGAGAAGTGTTGGAATCTAAAGGTCTTCGCCTAAGCCGATCAAAGACAGAATATATGGAGTGCAAGTTCAGTGCAAACGGAGGCCAAAATGAGTTAGGGGTGAGGATCGGAGATTAGGAAATACCAAAGAGCGATCGTTTTCTCTACCTAGGATCTATCTTGCAAAAGAACGGAGAATTTGATGGAGATCTCACCCATAGAATACAAGCTGGATGGATGAAGTGGAAGAGTGCATCCGGCGTGTTGTGTGACCGTCGTAGGCCACTGAAGCTCAAGGGAAAATTTTATAGGACGGCAATAAGGCCGGCGATGTTGTATGGCACATAATGTTGGGCGGTGAAGCATTAACACGTAGGTGTAGTGGATATGAGGATGCTTCGTTGGATGTGTGGGCACACGAGAAAGGATAAGATTAGGAATGAGGATATCCGAGGTAAAGTAGGAGTAGCCGAAATTGAAGAAAAGAGGAGAGAAAATCGGTTACGGTGGTTTGGACATGTGCAAAGAAGGCCTACTGATGCTCCGGTTCGAAGATGTGACTACGGGACAGAGGTTCAGGGCCGAAGGGGTAGAGGAAGACCTAGGAAAACTTTGGAAGAGACCCTAAGAAAAGACTTAGAGTACTTGGATCTAATGGAGGACATGACACAAAACTGAGCGCAATGGCGTTCTAGGATTCATATAGCCGACCCCACTTAGTGGGAAAATGCTTTGTTGTTGTTGTTGACAGTAGAAAACCCTAATTAAAACTAAGAATTCCAAATATATCTCATGGCAGTTTCAATTCAACTAAGGAAATTAAATTCGAAAAATCTAAATAATCAAGGAACAAGAAGTTTACCCTTCAAATCTCTGAATCCTTCCTTCACAATCACGTTCTCTAACTCTCAATTTCTCTACCCCTTTTTCGATTTTTGATGCTTTCCCACTTCTCTGCAACCCCTTTTATAGTTTCTCTAATCCTACTCACTCCTATCAGAGTCCTGATAAAAACCTAGCTTCCTAGGTCATCCACCTCCTGCTTATAGACCTCTGTGTCTCTTCTCAGTTCATCCTCTGCTGAACACACTCCTTGGTGCAATAGGAGATGAACAACTCTCTATGACACACTCCTTTGATCAATCAAAGGTCGACCTATCACAAGGTGTCCTAATCTCTATTATGAAGAAAGAAGATTTTTTTCCTAAAGATATGGAAGCCACCTCCTCCCAGCTTCCTTGTTTCCATTGCTCTGAAAGGAAGAGTATGAAAGGATGGTCTTTTCCTTTCTTTTGTAGAATATTATTTCATTATTATTATTATTATATATATATATATTTTTTTTAACAATAATAGGAAATCTAATAAATAAAAAGTATATTATTAAAAGCTATTAAACAAATAAACACTAAGTAGACTAAAATTTTGTATAAAAACAATTATAATCACACTTCACTCTTAATTTAAATGAGGGATATTACAGCACCGAACCAAAGATGAAGAAATCATCTTACAAACACACGTGTTCTCCACCTTTCGGTTTTTTTTTTTTTTTTTTTTTTTTTTAATATACACACCCACTTTAACTAAACCTTTACAAGCCCCAAATAACTAAATATACATTTCTGGGGTTGTACAACCTCCACATCGCTGCCATCAGCCATCACCACCTATTTATACAACTAGAATCGAGGGGTGGAGCTTTAAGCTTGCTTCTCTCTCTCTCTCTCTCTCTCTCTCTCTCTCTCTCTCTCTCTCTCGTTGCTTTCCTCTGCAAATTAAACTGAACCACTACCGGCGCCATGTTTTCCGGCGAGTTTCTTAAGTTTCCGACTAAGGTAAGCCTTGGGACTTCCTTAATCACTCCATTCTCGTTGTCCTGAGTCTATCTCTGAAGCTACATGCATGTTTTGGTGACGTTTAGGTGTAGAAAACACCCCTGGAAATTAACCCAGTTTTTTAACGAGGGATTTGGTGACTTTCGGGCCATTTTTCGAACCAACGCCGATCACAACTCGACCTCAACCTAGTATGGTTTTGTTCCTCTCGTACTAAGCTTCATTTCTATATAAATTATATTGATTTCTATTGAGAGTCTAGCTCAAAATGAGCTCTGGAAGTTGGACCAAAAACTTGCAAAACTAGGGCCTTTGTGAAGATAGTGAGTAAGCTTGTACTCGCGGCACGCGTAGGTAGCCAATGTCTGGCACATGCGGCAGCGCGTGAAGGAACCTGAGGTCTCTCCTTAGGTTTCTCGACGTCCCGAACCCGAATCCGCCCTCTTTTTTCTAATATTCAACCGTTTTAAAAAGTTCTTTTATCAACTGTACTTTGTACGAAAACTCGTATTTATGTTAGTGCGTTATATATTTATGTAAATAGTTTCGTTTTTAGGTGAAACACAATGCAAGGATCTTTGATGCATGCGTTGACCCGACGACATGATTTGTTGGTGGGTCTTTACTTTTAATTAGTATATATTTATTTAGTTTTCATATATATATATATATATATATATTTAATACAAATTTCTACGTAATGCCATAATTAAATTAACGTTTATAAGAAATGTCGTAATGATAGAAACTATGAAATTATCATACATCCTACAGGATGCATAGGTATGCGTACTATTAGGATGCTTTAATTATAAGGAAAACTAATGAAAATTGTTTGAAAACTTTGAGTTTTAACGATAAGGACAAAATAAAGGGTAAAGTGAATAGTACCAGGATTGACTTTTTAGTGTAAAAATGTGGTTTTTCGTCAAAATGAATAGTATCAGGAGCTTTTCGTTAAACTTCCCTTAATTATATTTATGGCCATGAATAGTTTTTTTTTTTATAATGTTTTTTAAGTTTTTTAAACAAACGATATTATAATATGGGGAAGAGGTGGGCTTAGCCTCACATCGCACTAATACGCTCACTTTGGATCCATTGTAGGTGTCAGTCCTGTCCTAGATTGCTATAAGTAATTAAGACTCATATGTGACACGCATAACGCTAGTCTTTATGTGATTGTAGTACTAGTGCATAAATCATTATTACACCAGTCCTGTTCATGTCATAATATCTCTGCATGAGCTCGTGTGTTAGCATAAGTTGATGAACACTCGATATTATATGTCTGTTTATGTGAAATATTGTGATTTACTGCATTTTTGAAATATTGCTGTTTACAGTAGTCGTTCTTATACTATATGTAGTGTGTGTGTGTGTGTGTGTGTGTGTGTGTGTGTGTGTGTGTATAACTATACTTGTTTTACAGTAAGGGGTTATACGTTTTCAAAAAGGTTTTACAAAGATTTATTTTCAAGTCCAGTTACCCTTGTTTTTCGCCCCTCTAGGAATTAGTGGTAGAGCTCGTGCATCGACAAGGATTTTTGGCAAAAAGTGATATAGGAGATTTCTTTCGATGGTATAATTCTTATTTTACTTTTACTGTACTGTACTTTACTTATACTCTGACGTCACGTGTGAAATGGGTTCAAGCCCGCTCATATGCATACTCTTGCATTTAGTCACTTTTAGGTTTAATTTTAGGGAACTACTATTAGCACTCCAAAAATCTCAATTTGCACTCCTCACAAGTGTTATTTTCTTTCTAAATATAGAAAGTTTGGAGTGCTAAATGAGAATTTTGGAGTGCTAATAACAATTCCCTAAATTTATCCATATTTTCCACATCACCACATTTTAAAGCTTCGTCACTTTCCTAGTGTCGACCAGCATAGCTTGATTCGGAGTCCACATGGACATTCCAGGTTAGGGTGTGTCATCGTTTTAATCACCAAATCTCCTTTTTTTTTTCTTTTCTTTTTTCTTAATCTTTACTCCTCAAACCTAAGAAGAGCACAAAACTAAGTACAATAGAACTGAACTTAGTTAAAACAATCACAATAATCCAAATAAAAAGTGGATAAAATGTACAGAATAATTGTTCTATCAACAGATCACTCAGTTCGTAAGATTCACTTCCCTAGAAGGGGAAGAATATGGCAGAAATGAATTCATACTTGATCGCTATCTCAACCATTTCCATCTCATGAGATTAATCTAGATTATCCCGAGACTTAAAGTTCTTGGTCTAGTATACTAGTTTAGGTAAGATAGGGAAGATGATATTTTACTTATATGGCACTTACCGACATAAATGAAAAACAATGATATCAAACCACATTCCGTTGATTAGTGACACGTAGAACTAATTTGTTAACTGGAAATAAACAATCTAGGTTAAATTAGATTCCTTACTAAAGAGTGTTTGGACCTATTGTTCTTACATTGCCCAAGGTAACTGTTGGAACCAAAATCGCGCACAGCTATAGATAGAGGCAAGATCCAGTCAGAATTGCCCATGATTTCCGATGAAAGGAGAATGAGGTTGACTGGGGGTGTGGTTGAATCCGAATTAGACTGCCTACATATCTCCATGATAGAGAATCAAACTCCTAGTGTATTTCTAAGAAAGAATGGTATAAAGCGTGCAATACATCATGAACCATCGTTGACAAGTAGCCTATGATTGGACGTTAACGAGATGAGTTCTCCATGGACGTGTTTATGGATAGAGGGCAGCGTATATGTAAGATGAGCCTATGTTAGGCGTAGGGAGAGTGTGCGATAGATGTATCTTCAATTGTGGTAGATCAGAGAGATCCAAGAGCCTTATTTGTTCCTTTATTGGTTCATTGCAGAGCCCTCATAAGGATTTGTATTCGTAGAGATAATATGTGTGTTGTAGAGGATATTAGATTACTGAGACAAATACTCAGGCTAGAGTACTTATAGAGATCTTAAGAGTCATTGTATAGAAATAATCCCAATTAAATCAGGAGACTATCTATTAGGGAATCTAGGATGAGATATCTCATCATCCTACGATTAGGTTGCCTAATCCCTAAGATGTTCTAATTTAATTTGAATTGTGTTTTCTTACTTGGGAAACAAGTAATATCTTCAATGGGTTTAAGCTTTGTTTGTCTGACTAAAGTTGTTGGACTACACTTCACGGGCTATGGACATTTTGGTCCTTTTTACCACCCAAGGTACCACATGTCATAATCCCAAAACATCATGGTCATAGAAAATCATGGTCCCACAATTACCACTAACTATGCTTCTCTGAGTGTGCTCCGCTTCAAAGATGGATAGTTACCAATGTACCATGAGCAAATCTCCCTATAATAACTTCTCTGGAATGCGTAGTAAAATGGCTTTTGGATTGTTTGTTTGATTTGGAGTTAGCCAAGTCTGGCTAGTCCTGCTTTCCTATCTATCAAAGATTTGATCTTTTGAAGTTCGAACCATATTGTAAGTCCTTAGTTGGAGTTTCTAATGCATAGCTAAAAAGTTGGATGCGAGGGGGAATGTGCCTATATATTCCTAGAAGGACTTAGGTACTTTAGAAAAGTTTTTGCTATGTGTATTTTTTACTTAACTCATCAAGCCTGTTAGAGTAAAACACTTGCAAATTTTCATCCTTTGTTTCCTTATCGCAGACTATAGTTTAACCTGACAATCTTTCTGAAGTAAACCAACTTTGGAGAAATGAGTAACAAAGTGAAAAACGAATAAGCTTGTAGATCTGGGACAAAGCTCAAAGCACCATTGGTAACATTGATTCGGAAAAATGTTACCTCCCAAACTTAGTGTTTATAAAGATTTGTACTGCGATAGTCGGAATACTACCCTACTCCAATACCAGGTTTAAGACCCGTGAAAACCATTTGCTCTGAACTTCCTAGAATTGATGGGATTAAGGATGAGAAATTGACAAGTATCTGGAATGTTCTCCAGATTTTTGTTTCATTCTGATCTTTTTTTGTCAAGCATGACTTTGATTTTATTTGTTCTTTCACCTTGCCCCATTCTGGTTATGAGATTTTGTCGCAACGTGTCACCAATAAAAATGTTTCCTTCTCAATCTAAATTGCGTGTCCATCGCTCGTGAATCCTAAATGAAAGTTCTTTAGGACTTGGTCGCTTGCATGTGGGTCAGAAACATCTTTAAAATTCTTTTGTCACTCTATGCGTTGAACCTGAGCATTTCTAATCAGTTTACATTAAGCTAACTAGGCTAAGGCATTTCCAAGTATATAAACTCCGTTAGAATAAAATTCCTCTTAAGGATTTCCTAGTCTGGATGCCTCTTTGGACCTGATTAGACACATGGTGCCGCAAAACATACTTGACTTACGTTAGTCTGGGATAGAAGTAATTGTATTAAAGGTCGGAGTTCAGAGCCACCAATCAACTGATTTTTAGATCGCCCTTTCAATCATTCCATCTTATGGCATAAACCCAGGTTTGAATGTTATAACCCACAACGCTTAGATTGTTTAATCTTTCAAGAGGCTGGATGGTGCGCTGGACTTCCAGATTATGGGGCTATTTCCCCGTATCTATAACCCTCTTATCATAACAGCGCTTAATAAAACTCGACCCTCCCAAACTGCTATCAAACACAATGGAATATGCTGCAAGAGACTACTTTAACACTAACATTTTGAGGAAGTTAGACTATGGCGATGTTTGCATAGTTACAAAGGTAGTGCGTTATTTGGGAATTTAAAGCATTCCCTGTACCTCAATGAATGGTGTAAGAAGAACAAACAAAGGCGTGCGAGGATCTGAAAAGATCAGTCCCAGTTTTGGGTTTTTTATCCAGCCACATTTAATCAAGTATATAATTAAATAATCAAAAATATTTATCTCTTGGAATGCTACCATGGTTTGGACCAAGGTTGTTCACCCATTGGATGGGCCTTCGAGTTGTTTTATTCATTCATATTTTATGAAGCATTTGGGATTTGTAGGATTGACCATAATTGTGCACATCCGTGGATGAGGGCAAGATCCAGTTGTGCACATATTATCTTAGTGAGGGGGGAATGACGTTGATTGGGGGTGGTTGAATCCGAATTAAACCGCCTACATATCTTTGGAAAGGAGAATCAAACCATTGATGTAGTTCTAAGAAAGAATGGTGTGATGTGTGCAATACATTTTTAACCATCCTTGAAGAATAGACTATGACTAGGTGTTAAGAAGATGAGTTCTTCATGGATGTGTCTATGTGTAGACGACGACGTATATGCAAGATGAGTATGTGTTAGGCGTAGGGAGAGTATGAGGGAGATATATCTTTAGTTGTGGTAGATCAAAGAGATCCAAGAGCCTTATTCGTTCCTTCATTGATTCATTGCAAAGCCCTTATAGGGAATTGTACTCACATAGATAATATGTGTGTTGTAGAGAATATCAGATTATTGAGATAAATAATCAGGCTATAATACTTACAGAGATCTTGAGAAACGTTGTGAGGAAAATAATCCTGATTAAATTGGAAACTATCTAAAAGGGAATCTAGGATAAGATATCAAATCCTCCTAGGATTACGTTGCCTAATCCCCAAGATGTCCTAATTTTAACTTGAATTAGGGTTTCTTTACTTGGGAGATAAGTACTATCTTTAATGGGCTTAAGCCTAGTCTGTCTGACTAAGGTTGTCAGACTACACTTCATGGGCATGGGAATTCCATTCCTTCTTGCCACTCATTGCATCACGTGTCATGGTCCCCCAGTAACCATTCGTGTTACAAGTGAGAAAGGAAGCGTAATGAGACTAATGAAATAGTGCGATGGATTACACGCCTTATGGCACAAGTTTTCTCTCAAACGCCATGTGATTGATTGCAGCAGTCAAAGCATTTCTCCATAGGGATATGATATGGAAATTTACGTTTAAATTTCCAAAGAATTACACTTTCTCAATTCAAACAAGGTGTTCACTTTACGTATTGAAGCAATTCAGTCGAGTGTGCTATATTGGTCTAAGTGATTATTTGATCAATTAGGGATATGAAAATATACTAAGCCCTTGCGTGTTAACTATGAAGTATTCCAAATTGCTAGAGTTATAGTTTCTGTTGATAACATAAATCTCACTAAAACTTTAGAAGAGCTTGAGAAAACTGCTTCGCACACGAAGACGGATTTTGAGATGAAGGATCTTAGGAAAACATATTTATGCCTTGACCTGAAGTTTGAGCATTGCTCTGATGATATTCTAGTCCATAAGCCGAACCACACCCATAAGGTGTTACATTTTAAGTATGCCCTTGATCATCCATATACTAGATGTAAATGAGACCCTTGAAGAGGTTGTAGAACCTGAAGTTCCATATCTAAGTTCCACATTGCGCTTTGTTGTAGTTTGATTATTACATTAGGCAGCACATCTCTTTCATGTTGATATATTGACAATATACAACATTGCGCCTACATACAACGAATTGCATTAAAGACATTTTTCTACTAGCACAAAGTTACTACGGATTTAGGCTTATCCATACGCATCTCGAGCGGATCCAACCTCTTGAGCCTTAGAATAATGCTTGCCTTGTTTATTATGCTGACACATGTTACTTATCAAACCCATACAAGGCACGTTCGCAAATGGTTATGTCTTTATTGTTAGGGACACATTAATATCTTGAAAGTCCATGATATGTTTGAGAGCTTACATTGAGCATATTCGAAATACTTGCGGTTTTCATCCATCCTTGAGTTTTAATGACGATCTATGAAGAGAATGCCGCATGTATCGACTAGACTAAGACATGACATATCAACAGAGTCAACACCAAGCATATTGCGCCCTCATCACATCAACAAAGCCTCCGGAGATTGAAGTCAAACAAATATGATCCCAAGACAGCCTTGTCGATCTCTTCATGAAGTCATTGTTGAAGCCAGCCTTCCATAAGCTTGTCCAAGGAATTTGTATACGAAACTATCTCATTTGCAATGCTTGTAGTTCTCATTTGAAGGTTTGGTCAAACAGAGGGGGAATTACCAGAAGTATAGTCACTTGACCTTAATGTACTATTTTTAAATTTTTTTCCTATCTGACGAAATTTTGACGAGGCACCTATCTTGAGCTGGTCATACGCTTGTGTGCATTTTACTTGCTTAGTTAAGGCGTTTAGTTTTGACTTAATGTAATTTCTCACTTTTCTTCTTAGACTATGAGTTTTATCCTACCTTGAGCTTTAACATTGCTAGGTTTTCTGAGTTTTGTATTCTTTTGTTTATTTTTTAGACTCACATTGACTCATTGTTCTGACGAGAAGAGGTGACTTCTTCATCAACTATTTATATACCATCACATGAAGACCTTATGTGCAACTTATTTGAGTATTTACACACTCAAGGGGAAGTGTTGCAGTCCTAACTCCATTAGAAGTGTGACTGCGTAAATCCTAGTAGATTAAGTATATGAATCTTATGAGATGTAGACTTTCCTTGAGCAACTGGTGTTACTTAGAGAGAGTTTCTCTCTCCATTTTTAGTACATATAAAAGAACAAATTCCTCAAACTCTTCTCTCTCTTTCTTCTCTCTGTCCGATCTCCCTCTTTCTCCCCTCACTAATTTATCATATGATTCGGTTAGATTTTGGACCATTTGACTTTCCTTGAAAAATAATAATAAACTGGCCACTCCTATTCGGATCGGCAGGTTTGGTCCGTACCAAATTGATGTCCGGCCCAACTATATGCAGTAGCAGGACTTTAAAGGCAGGCAATCAATTTCGTCCAACGAAAAAAGGCACTCAATGAATCACGTTTTTATCCAACGGCTGAGAAGAGATCACATTCCCAACACCAACGTGCATATGTTTACACCGACATACAGTAGGCCCCACCAAATTCCCCCTCCTTTTCTTTTTCAAGTTTCAAGTCGACTCCGCGTGTGCATGAATACCTCCCTACTTCGAACCAGGAGTAGGAGAAATTTGCAAAAAATTTATCAAATTTTATAAGATATAAATTCGACGATCACGATTGAATCAGATAATGTCGTGGCAGGCGTATGTCGACGATCACTTGATGTGTAACATCGACGGCCACCACCTGACCGCTGCGGCCATCCTCGGTCACGACGGTAGTGTGTGGGCCTAGAGCTCCACCTTTCCCAAGGTTCTCCCTTCTTCTTCACTTTCCTCTCTCCGATTACCTTCCGTTTTGATCCGTACACATAGCTCGGTTTGGTCCCTCGGAAAATTTTCAATTTTCACGGAAGGTGAAGTAATTGGATTGCAGTTGCGAGGACTTGTAAAACTAACGGATACTGATTTCGACATTTCAATTGAGATTCTGATAGGAATCAATTTTTGTTTTTATTTTTTTGATCGATACAGTCTGTGAATTGTGATTCATATTTTCTATTTGGTTGCTGAGAAAATGTTATATGCTGTTGTAGGTAGTGAGTGATGGAGACAGATTGGTTTGCTTGTTTCATTATTTATGTGCAGTTTAAGCCGGAAGAAATTACGGCAATAATAAAAGATTTCGTTGAGCCCAGGTCTCTTGCTCCAACTCGATTACACCTTGGTGGGACAAAGTACGTGGTTATTCAGGGCGAGGGCGGAGCTGTTATTTGTGGCAAGGTTTGTTATGTTGCTCTTCTCCTTCATCATATACCAATAGGTCATTGATAACATTGTTTGAATTCATTTTGGAGTAATTCAAGTTAGGTATATTTGTTTAAGATGAAAATGATCATTTCGAGAAAATTCCCTTTCGAAAGTGTTGTACTTGATTAGGATTTCAGTCCATGACTAACACAATGTTTGCAAAAGGTTTCAGGTCTTAACTTCATAATAATAATAAGAAGAAGAAGAAGAAGAAGAAGAAACAAGTAAATAGTAATTTTTAACGAATAAAGAAACGACTAAGACAATGTATTATCTAATGTAACCTCCAAGAACCCTACATTTTCATGAAATCACGTCTACGATTATGATTGCTTTCTCAAATGACAAGTGAACATGAAATGTGGACAATTTATGTTCAAGCGATAGATCTTGCTGTGAAGCATAAACAAATTAAATCACTCATGAACTGCTTCTTAATCTTCACCATGTGTGCTTTTAGGAAGAATGAAAGCTTGTGGAAATGATCATAAGTTCGAGCTTCATGTAACAGATACTATCTAATTACATACCAAAATCATGCAATAGATTCTAAAACTGTTCACCATCTATTGTTTTAGCTTTTTGACTTGTAAAATTGTTCACCATCAATTCCATCTGTTGAAGTTTTTTTATGTTGCAGTCAACATTCTGCCTTCTCATCTGTTGCTAATTAGAGGACTTTAGATAATAGTATTGCATTAAAAGAATAGTAATAGATCGTCAAGAGTTTTACCGGTGAATTGCTTTAAATTTCCTCTTTTGTGTATTCAAATTTCCTTTTGGGTTCCTTGTTCTATAATAGAGCTTCAAGAGTCCCACAGTCGTCGTTGAAAATAGTCTCACATAGCTAAAGTACGAAAACACATGGTTGCCTAATTGCATATGATTTGTCTAATGTGCTAGTTTAGTAACAAACTCTTCCCAACAACATGATGCATCTCATGAATTATGAGGTCCGTAACTTTGCAGATGCAGGTATGTGCAGTTGCAACCACCAAAGCTAATGCCTTTTTCATGTTCCTTTATGATGTATTGCTTGTTGTCTACGCCAAGTGGTTCTGGTCTATGTGTTATCGACATGATGGATCTTTTAAATGGATTGAGTCATTTAGAATGTAGTAAAGTTCAATCTGATTCGATTTCCATAACTCATATCACCGTCATGATTTTCATATCCTGAAGTTCTCTTTTTTGGCTTGCATATACTTGTTGGTAGTGTTACTGAAAATAACCGTGACGGAAGGATTGTCTTTTGGTGTTCTAGGATTTGTTCATCTGTCCGATTTTTCTGTTTTCTTTAAGTTCTGAGTATCCTTGGGAATTTTCACCTTACGACGGTGTAGTAAAAATTATTTTTTCTATGTCAAAGAAGAAATGTTCTTGTATTATAGTTGCGGTGGCAGAAAATGTTAGTGTCTAACAACACTCTAAATGTAAATTTGAACCACATTATTGCTAATCTATTATGAGGTTTAGCATACTCGCCCACCCCCTTAATATAGTAATATAGTTTGTTAAAAAAATATATATATATATCTAAACAGTAACCAACAATTGGATGCAAGTTGGACAAAAATGAGCCTAGGTGGATCTGTGGACCAACTCATCTCTTCTTGGTAGGCCCATTGTGCATCTGTGGACCGATTTCAGCAATGTGCTCCAAGTACTCGACAAAATACCGCACTGAATTATACGGCAGTTGATCCATGTATTAGGTGGTATAAGTTTTTTATTTTATTTTATTTTTAATTTTTTTTAATTTTTTTGGAAATTTAGGTGGTATGGGTTTGGTTGAGTTTGGCCTTAATCTCACCGGGTACTCATTCAACGTGGGTAAGTACCAAATATCGGACGAGAGAAAAATAAAATTCAAGCAAGTTTATGGTAAAATTACCACTTTCATTATTGATTTGCATTCATCAAATATCATAATTTTTATAGCTTAGCTTAAAGTTATAAACCACCTGATAAAATCCCAACTTCGTCTCTGAAATTGACTATTTCTCCCACTCTAAAAATATGTTAAGATAGACACGAAATAAGATAAATTAGTAGAAACCCTTAATCCTTTGCGACCGTCGTAAAATATGATATTGATGGGTGGTTGAAGGTAGAAAAATAAATATGGATGGATAAAGGGGAGGGAGAAAATGGTTGGTAGGCCACGGCTGGCGATGACTAATTCTGAATTGATGTGAGAAGGTTCGTTTGCCCATCAAGTCCTATCTTTATCTCTTGATTTATATTATATACATAATATGGATCTCAAATCTTACAAGGAGCTTGATTTCTGGTGTGCTAAGACACAAGAGGTGGCACCTTGTTGCGGTTTACGTTTAACTTTCTTTGATGATTTGAATAGTTTATATTATAATTCATGTAATTATATATTCTTTTTATCAAAGTTAGATTCAAAATCACTAAGAAGATCCAATTAAAATGAAGAAAATAAACGAATATAGTTCTTCAAAGAAAACTAAAATGACTACAATTTGATCCAACATTCATACGGTTTCTTATTTTGGTGACTTTTTGGTAAACATGTGTTGGGGGATTTTTAGGTTGAACTAGACTTGGGGTAGACACCATTTGTTCTCCTGGTCAGTTTGAATACTGAGTCCAAGGATACCTTGAAACGATGAGCGTGTCTATCTTGATCGGTTAGATTAATGGTTTGAAGACAGCATGATTGGACAAATAATGACTTGCCTAAGCAAAGTGCGGCGTGGATGCTAGAAACTTGTCGATTTAGCATGAGAGAGAACTTTACTTGATTGCATGATGTTCAAAGTGAGGTGATCGTGATTTCCTAGGGTTCTTAGAGAGCTTTTATTGACTAAGGAAGATCAAAGGAAGCTTGGAGGAACCACTAAGATTGTAGGAAGATGACTATCTCCACGATTCAAGGCTGCTTGCACTTAGAGAGTGATTTCCTTTACTTGGTGCAATATAACCTTGAATTTCTTTCATTCGCTCTCTAAAGGTGAGAAGTACACATAATGTCAACATTAAATGTTTAAGGAACGAAAGTAGAAAATCCTCATAAGGGTACGACCAACTTAGGCAGGATGCCTCGTTAAAACCTAGTTAGGTAGCAAAAATCTAGTGAGAAAAATGCTCATAATCGTAGAGAAAAAAAGTACATTGATTAAGTGATTATACTTCTGTGTTGGAGCTAAATTCGCACACTTCCACGGACGGAGGCGAGAACCAAGTCGAAATTATCCATGATCACCAATGAGGGTAGAATGGGGTTGATTGGGGGTGTGGTTGAATCCGAAAAGGATTGCCTACATATCTCCGAGAAGTAGAATCAAACCACGGGTGTAGTTCTACAAAAGAATGGCGTGAACCATCCTTGACGAATAACCTATTGTAGGGCATTGGGAGATGAGTTCTCCATGCATGTGTCTACGCGTGGATGACAGCGTAAAGGCCTCTGTTAGGCATTGAGAGAGAGAGATAGAAGTGTAGGTGAATATCTATGGTAGTCTTGTAGAGAATAAAATGATTGTCCTAGAGGGAGATAGATCCGAGAAAGAAAGATCGAAGTCTCATGATAAATACCCAGGCTAGTGTATTTATAGGGATCTTGAGAGTACTTGTAGGAAAAGTAATCTTTATCAAATCGGGAGACTATCTAGGAGGAAATCTAGGATAAAATATCCAATCTCCCTAGAAACATGATTATATTGCCTAATCCCTAAGATATCCTAATTTGACTTTAACTATGGCTTCCTTTACTTGGGAGACTAGTAATATCTTTAATAGGCCTAAGCCTATCCAACCAAACTATGCTCCATAGGCTTCGAGCATTTCGATCATTCTCTCCATGTGTCATGCACCCAAAAAATCATGGTCCCACATTCTGGATACTTTCTCTATGTTTGACAAAACTTCCAAAAATGAGAACTATAAGCAATTCAGATCAAATAATTTACTCATACAGACTACTTGGATGAGGTTTTAAAAAGTAGACTTTGGTAATGACTTCGTGAAGAGATCGGCTAGGTTGTCCTGGGTATAGATTTCCTTGACTTTAATGTTCTGATGCTTTAAAGAAGAGTTTTGGCGCAATATGCTTGGTGTTCTCTCATTTGATGTATCCCTTCTTAATCTAGTCGATACATGATATGTTGTCTTCATAAATAGTTGTATTGATGTCAACGACAGAAGAAAGACAACATGTGCTTCAAATATGTTCCATTACTACTCTCAGCCAGTAGCATTCACGAGTATCTTCATGCAGGGCGAGGATCTCAGCATGGTCCAAGGAAGTCACAACTAAGGAATGCTTGGTGGATGTCTAAGATATTATGGTGTCACCAACGATAAAGACGTAACCATTTGAGAACATGCCTTATACGAGTTGAATAAGTAACCTGCATCATCGTAACCAACAAGGCGAGAATGAACCCTAGGATTTATGAGGCAGCAATTGCTCTCGAGGATTTGTATAGGTAAAACAAGCCTAAATCCAGCGTACCCTTGAGGCAACAGAAGTTGTCTTTAACACTAGTTTAGTGTCTGCATGTGGGTGTATTGCTGCATTTTTCCAAAAGATATGCAGCAAAGAAAATGTCAGGTCTAGTGCACTCTAAGTACAATAAAACACCAATTGCACTCAAGTATGAAACTTCAGGCTCCAAAACCTTTTCCTTATCCTCCTTAGGAAGGAAATGATCTCGTTTAACATTTATTGTCCGAATGACCATAGGAGTGCTCGAAGGTTTTGCTTTATCCTTAATAAAATAATGCAACACCTTCCAAGTATAGTTTGATTGATGTACTAGAAATTCATCTGAACAATCCTTGATCTTCAGGCCAGGACAATATCAAAATTTCCCAAGATCTTTCATCTCAAATTCGACTTTAAGTGCGTGGTAGTTTTCTCAAGCTCATGAGTCATGAGGAATCCCAATGAGAATCATGTCATCAACATAAACTACAACAATTGAAAATCTGGAGTGTGACTTCTTATAATAAACACGCATAGGCGTAGTTCGTTGTTCACATAACCCTTGATAAGAGCATATTTATGCAACTTTGTTATCTTATTTCTTTGTATTTACTTAGTTAATTTCCATTTATTATAGTAATTTAAATAATTTTCGTTTTATTTTAGGTCCAGTTAGTAAAGTTGACAATTAGGGATCAAATAGAGCAATTTGGAGTAGTTTTGGACTTGGATTGGATAGCAGTTATGGATAGCATATAGGATGGATGTTTTTGGTGTTTAAAAGGTGTTAAACATGTGCTAAAATTTGGAGAAATTAAAGTTAAGGCTTGGAAGACTAGCAATTGCACAAGAAAAAGGAATCCTAGTTGAAGTAAAACATTATCCTATCTTATCTTATCTTATCTTATCTTATCTCCAGCTGCAAGGAAGAATCCTAATCACATTCCAACACTCTCAAACTGTTTCTTAGAGTCCTAAAATAATGCAAAACGCCTAATCCCTTTCCTCCTTGGATTTAACCGCGCCCTATATATATATAAAGTGTCTTGCAATATTTTAGAAGTGTGCCACGGCTACCATTCATCCATTGAAGTTACTAGAATTTTTAGAGTTCTTTCTATCTTTGTTTTAAGTTTCAATGTTTATTTTAGATAGCTTTTCAATTATGATGAACATGAGTAACTAAGTTTCTTTTTAGCTAGAGGTGAATTCAAAGTTATGATCATATGTTTTACATAATTTGATTACATCCAGTTATTGTTTCATAAAATATGAATGCGAATACTTATATGCTTTATAGAAAACTTATTATTGTATGTTTACTAAGGATGCTTGCTTAGTTTGCATGCAAAGATTGAATGCTATAATATAAGGGAATTTCACATAATCGTTATGAACTTATGTTTGCAAGGAGTAAATGTCACTTGTCATGATTGAGTTAAGTAAATTCTTGGTAGGGGTATCATGCTTTTTCATAGTTACAAATGTTTTGTCAATCTTATGATTTTCATAGAACTTAATGATATTTGAGATGTATCTCTATCATACTTTTCATAGTTAGGGAATTTGAGAAGAATAATTTGGTTGTGTCGCTGAGTCCAATTCAATGAACTTAGGAAAATCTGACAGTTAATTAGTGCTTTTCACGGTTGGAAATCGATTTGTATGCATATGTTTCATATGTGGAGAAGAATTCTTTAGCTATCCTTTCATTCACAACTTAATTTACTTGCTGCCATTTACTCTTGTTTTCCAGTCACTGTTTGTTGTTAGTTTAACTTAGATTTCAGTTTTATAAGTTTAATTTGTGTTGATTAGCATCCCTTCTAATCCCTGGAATAGAACGATCCCTACTTACTCGTACTACAATTGCATAATTTATAGGTTTTAATTTGTGTGTTAGTATCTACCACATCAAATTTTGGCGCCGTTGTCAGGGATTAGTAAAATTGCTAATCAGTCTATGTTCTTTGTTTGTTTTTCTTTTGATATTTGATTTAGTTTTATTTCTTTGATTTCAGGTACTAACG